TATATATATATATATATTTTTTTTTTTTCCACAATAGTATATTTCATATTTTTAAACTGTATCAAAACACAGGAAATATTGTACAAAAATAAAATACAATATTTCATGCTAGTTGCACCATACAAGATTTTACTTTTGCTAAACATTCCATCTCGATTTTTCATTAAATTACAGAATTAAATGATAATAACATATAAACATAATTTGAATTCAACATGTAAATAATTTGAATTCAGTTAGAAAGATATCAAATTCCACATAAATAATACACAAAACATTGCATTAATAGATTTCAAAGCATGGGACACCCATGAGTTTGTATGGAATGGACATCCAGTTTTAAATGGTGTTGGAGAATTCCTGCTGTAATAGTTTTGGATTCTTTATGGTTCGTTTAAAGTGATGTATTCTGACTGGAGCTCCGTTGATCTGTCAAAGGTGAATCTCTAGAATGAGTATGGCATTGAATAAAAGAGTTTCAAGGTTAAAAGTCATTTGAAAGCCTTCCCTATAGAGAACAGAGGATTACAGCACAGTAAAGCCACACATACGCCTGACTTATCTTTGGCTGTGAGGTCTGTTGCTCTTGGATTTGCATGTATTTATCTATGACAGATGACACTAGAAAATATTGTTAGTAGTCTGAGTGTTCTATGTTGTAGATTTTACACATTAAAGTCAGAAAGCAAAGTCCAGACGTCACAAAATGAGTTATAATGTTTAAAAAATGCCACTATTTATGGCTCTTGAGATCTAATACTTTGCATAATGAAAGCATAATGCATGGCAGGATATTACCGCTTGATTCATTTCTTCCCTGATTGCCATCTCACCGCTTTTAGGACATAACAGAATATCTGTCACATTGTAAAAGGAACAGTTCAACCAAAAACATTTTTTTTTTTTTTAAATCTGTCATTATTTACTCACCCTCATGTTGTTCCAAACCTCTTTCTTCTCTGAAACACAAAAGAAGATATTTTGGATTTTTTTTTTCCATACAATGAAAGACAATGTGGTCCAACCCCAACATTCTCTGAAACATCGTTTTTTTTCTGAAGAAGAAAGTCAACAGAATTAAGTTAAGTAAATGTTGATAGAATTTAACTTTTTTGGGTGAGGTCAGAAAAAAAAAATCTATGTGACCTCAGTGGCTTTAACTCACTTCATTTCCCTCCCTAACGGTGATTTTGGGCAGCCTTAAAGACAAATGTTTTTTAATCACGTTATATAAAGAATGCCTAATTAGGGTAAGGTGCAGCAATAGAGACTCTTTTCTTTAAAGATTCATCACAGCTCTGCACTGACAGGTCTTTGAGTTGAACAAAAGCCAACAATAATTAGAGCATTACCATGAATCAGCTAATTGTATAAAAAAATATATACTGTGCATAGAATTTCTAACATTATAAATGCTATTAAAATTGTCCAGAATGACTTCAGTGTTTATGGCAGTCTACCATTTTAATAGTTTTCACAGGCTGGGCTAAAATTTCATCCGGTTCAGTAAGAAAATAAAGTAGTAATTATTGTATAATAATGCAAAACGATAAAATGCATTGTTTGTTTTGATGTTACCTGCCAGTTCAGAATATTTTCAACACTAAATGTGACCAGTCTATTGATAACCCCTCACCCCCAAAGCTCTATTCAAGTCTATTGCTCGGCTCTGGCTTTGCACAAATAGGCAAGGTTTGGTTTCCGAATTATTGAAAGAAGGCTGCAAATGCTCAGGGTGACACTTTTCCTTCTTGCCTTCCTTCATCTGCTGTCAGACCTACTGCCAACAATTTAAAGCAGCTCTTGGTTTCGGCTTGTCACCACGATATTGCCCAGTCCCAAGCATTATGGGTCATGAGCGATCACCTGAATCAGAGAGAAAAACCCCATATGCCACTGAACTACAGTTAGCCATGTGAGCTGTATAGTTATTTTGTAGTTCTGCTTAGTTGTGACTTAAAGTTAATGTGTTCATTTCTATTTTGAAATATTTTAAAATACATTAAATCTATCTGCTATATAAAGAGAGACAGCTATAAACATGTGATTTGAATCCCAACTTCCCCAAAAAGTGTAAAAAAACACTGTGGCTCTGGGAGACTTCAAACATTTTTTTAAATTTTTGTTTGTTTGAGAGTCCTGACGCAGCAAGAGTACTACTTTCTAAGCAACGTGATTATACTGAAGAAGGAACTTTCACCATATTTAGACACAATAAATTATTTAAAATATGTAAGAAATCTTTGACATAATATATATGCCAGTACCAAACATCCCCATGCAGATTAACTAAAATCAGTGACACCATTTAAACATACATTCTGGCACTTCCAGAGAAGCGTGAATGTTGATGATAGTAGACAAAAGAGTAAAGCTTACACTGATAATGCTTTTAAATTCTCCAGATGCTTCAGGATAAATATTGTCATTGATGAATGTGCTCTCAGCAATCTTGCAGCATGAGTTCTGTTCCACAGCATCAATTACAGGTTTTACTTACAACTTTCATTTTTAATGTCAAATGCAACATAGAAACAAGAGAACCTGAGAATGTGGATCACTTTTTTTTTTATGGGATTTGAAGCAGAGGTTTGGTTTCTAATCGTTTAAATATATTAAATTGTTGCAAATCATGTTTATTAATTAATTTAATTACATTTTTAATAAATACCAGGCAGATAAGTTCAGCCCTAATAATTAAAAGTTACATATGACATTTTAAAACAATTTAATAATTTGCATACATTTAAAATGGGGCGATGGGGAAAGCCACAGCCATAAAATAGTGCTAAAGTTTATTGTAATCACCTGAAATGAGGTCCCAAAATAAACAAGACTTGTTGAAATTTTCCAAAAGAAAATGAATATACTTCCAAAATGATATGTTTAATCCTCAAAAACAAACAATAATAATAAATATGAAAATTTAGAAAATGTTCCAAGAAGGAAATTTTGGTGGTTTATGTGGCCGGGCTACTGAAGGGGTGTTCGCTGTTCACATCTGTCTTTCCGTTCTACTCTCCGTCCTCTCCCGGGTGAGTGCAATTAGTGCTGTCCATGTTTAAATGATGCTCCTCTGGGGAGGTGTAAACTATTCCAGCATTCTGGATAGCCTTGGTTCTTCCTGTGTGCTCATTGTGAAGGGTCTTGTTGTTTGAGACAGCAGAAATATATAGGAGAACCGAAGTGTGACAGAGGGTCCCATAAGAAAATTTCCCATTCTTTCCAATGGATAAAGTTAAATGGTGACAAATAGAACCCAGACTGTTTTCCAAAAGGTCTCTCTGGTCTTTCCTTGGTGTGGAAAGGGATAGTTCACTCGTAAATGAAAATTCTGTCATCATTTACTCACCCTCATGTTGTTCCAAACTGTATACTGTTAGTTTTTCTGTGGAACACCAAAGCAGAAGTTTTTGAATAATCTGACACAAGTGAATAATGACAAACATTTGATTTTATGTTTCCCAAACTGGGGTTCACAAGAGAACTGCTGGGGGTTCTCAAGTTATGAAAAGCTGATCATTTATTAAATCATAAAAAATGTAAAATTAAAATAAACTCTTTTAAAATCAAACAATGAAGACAAACCACTTAAACACTAAAAAGGTAACATATTTAACTTGTTTACCTGCATGTCATGTGACCATTAATCTACAGCAGAGGACCGTGAACACGCAAATCTGTGTAAATTACTGAAAATTACTGTTCAGCTGACAAAAAACAATTGGGAATTCCTGCTCTAAGTTGCTTTCTTTCTATATTTTATCTACAGCACTCAAGATGAAGATTAAAGAGGTGAAAAAGGAAAAAGGCGACCGCAAGCTCATCGCAGCACAAAAGAAGAAGAAGTTTCTGAAGATGGGAATACTGAGGAAGAAAGATTTGAAGAAGCTCACGCTATACATCAAGAATGGAGCAAACTGTCCCTGCTCGCAACTGGACAATCTCGGGAGCAACTTCCTCATCATGGGCCGCAAAGTGGACCAACAGTTACTGCTCATGTCCATCCACAAGTGGGACAAAAAGAGCAAGGAACTCAAGTTTGCCATTAAATACATGAAGTCTCATCAGTGTCCCACCTATCACGCGGTCTTCCAATGACCAATGACTCTTCTGTCTATTGCGGGCCCTGCGTCTTCCAATAATTCTTTCAGAGACCATATCCATGCCTAATTCCGACAGTTAGTACAGATGTATTTCATTACTCAAGAAATGGCTTTTGGAAACTGCTTAGGACTTAATTCATCATCAAGTACAGCTACAATTTGTTGGCAACTGTCTCTACATAAAATTTATTGTTTATGAAGCAATCAGCACACTTATGATGCTCATGCATATTTTAGTGAAACTTTCCTTGTTCCCTCATTCAGAGCACAAGAGACTTTTCGGAAAGACATTGACAACCCTTTAAATCAATGTGAGAAAAAGAAAATTGTGAACAAGAGCTTTAAAGAGTGCACTCGCTTAATGAGCACATTTGATTTAAATGGCCAGATTCCACTTAAACGAAAAAGAACAAAATAGTGCCAACTGTTTTTTTTTTTTGTATCTTTTATTTTGTAGATAAGGAATAAAAAGGTTTTATTATATACTACGAAGATACAATCGTGATCATTAGCGCCAAGATGGGACACGACTCCAGCTGTGGCTTGAATCGTGGGAGGTAAGAAAGCTGATGGATTGTAAAGTGTTGGTCAGGACGGCAGCCCAAATACTTCAACCGCAGTCATGTGAGCAAGTCCAGACCGTTTCTCTGCTCAACATATCAGCCAAGCTTATGGCAGACTCTGGACTCATTCAGGCAATTTGGTTAGTGAAGTGTTTGGTCCTTCTCATGTTTTCTATACAACATAATTTTTTACTAAAATTATTATATATTGCTACAAATATACATACATGCTATGGAAAAAGCCTTCCAACATTACATCTGAGTCCACTGTAATAAAAGTTAAAATCTAACTCTGCTAGTTCTGTTTAATCAGAGATCAGGAACCTTTTTAACAATATTACAATTCAATTCAATTCAATACACTTTATTGTATTTGTCTTGGACCCTGGAGCCCGCATACACATACATACACTTACATTGCATAATAAAACCTTACCTTATGTTGTTGGACACATCATTTTATGGTGCTTTATTGTCATTTTTGGAGTTCACAGCATATGTACCATATTCACTTTAATTGTATGGTGCAGAGCATCTCCAAAACATTCCCTTTTGCTTTTCCATGTAAGGAAAAACTAATACAAGTTTGAAATGACATGAAGGTAAGTAAATGATGACAGAATTGTTCTTTTTGGCGGAACTAACCCTATAAGGCAAAGCGCTATTTCATTTAAAATAATGACGTTGCTCAATATAAATACATACCAAAACCACAAATGGAGATGCAATGAACACATTCTAAAACAGGGAATGTTTATCAAACAGCTGAATCACCAAAATCAGATCATGACTGACAACACTACAGTAAATGTGTTTCCTTTTGCCAACAGCTGCTCTTAAGAACAAGCCTAAGCGCCAGCAAATCTAAGTGCCAACCTGTTTAAACAAGACAGAGCAAATTACCTATTCAGTGCCAATCTCTGTAAAGGTGAATGGGGGGAAAAAACATGAAAAAAGCAGTGGAATTTGTCTGAGATCAAGAAGCAAATGCCTCCTCCAGCCTCCAGTGGGTTTTCACAACTGGCATTGTGAATCATGGATAAGCAACACTTCATTACTTGCCTATTGTCTGTGGGGACCTTCCAGCTCATGCTACCCCCACTTCTCACTTTCAAACACTCTCCACACAGCTTACATCACACCAAACACAACACCACAGTCTGATCTGGGCTCCTGCACATGCCCTATAGAGTCACAGTGCTGTCTCAAACATCGGCTGATCACCAGAGGTGTTACAGACACATTCAAGCTGTCCAATTACAGGATGTGCACCACCATGTAACTCACAAACTGCTCTTTGCACCGCTCTTACCAACTTGAATTTTGAATGAATTTTGCTCAAATTACATTTGTAGCCAACTGGCATCTAGTTTTATACATAGCCTATACTGTAGTATATGTGCACGTGTTTCTGGATATAGATATATGTACATATACACCCGATTTCAGTATACCTTTGAAATGAAAAATTCACCCTATCTATTTTCTAACTGCATTTTTTTTTTTATGTTGTGGCCTTGTAATGTTTAATCAAAATGTCATAACTGGTCCTTCCAGTGAAACAATAGACTTCTTCAATCATTTGAATCATACTCATCTCCCTCCATTTTTGAGTGCAGCACCGTCGCTGGGGTATATTTTTAGCAATAGTCAAAATTGTATGGGTCAAAATTATTGATTGTTCTTTTATGCCAAAAATCATTAGGATATTAAGTAAAGATCATGTTCCATGAAGATATTTTGTAAATTTCCCGCTGTAAATATATTCAAACTTAATCCAGGGTCACATTTGTTTATAAGAACTTAAAGGCTTTCCAGAGCTCTTAAAACTACTACAACATAACTTTTTATTCCAACAGGTCAAGGGCTAAAGGGATGAAAATATGTTCATCATTTACTCACCCTCAAGTATGACTCTTTCTTCTCAAGAACAAAAAAATGTGATATCTTGTGGTCCGCATGACTTGTGCACTATATTCAGAGTCTTCTGAAGTGATGTGAAACAGTAGCTCTGTGTGATGAACAAAATTAAATTTAGGTCGTTATTTACAGATATACCTTCCTTTAGTGAGCTGTTAAGCACAGCAGATCATTGAGTTGAGATTGACTGAGATTTCAGTTTGTTGCACATAAAGTTATAGCACTAATTCCTTGAATTGGAATATAATACATGAGTCGTTTTGACCACTTTGCATGTCATTTTGAAGCTTGACCTAGCCCTTGTCCCCATCCACTTCAATTCTATTGAAAAAATGGACATGTTCAATTCAATTAACTTTTTGGGGCACACTAACAAGTTTTTTTTTTTTTTGCCAAAGAAATTCAGAAAACCAGCTGCGTACAACACTGAATCAGATACTACAACCTGTACAAATGTGAAAGTAATGGAGACGTGCTCAATTAGACTGAAAAGAAAAAGAGGAAAGATCCAGTGAGACGTGAACATGAGATAACAGTGCAGGAGAGAGAGACAGGACACCAGAAGAGAAAGAGTCTTCTCATAAAAGCTTATCAGATGGACAGTCCTGGCTCCTCACTCTCATCCTTCTGTCAGCATCACTGCAAAGGTCACTTACCGTAATTAAAAAAGGTCTGATGGCAGCAGACAGGGGGAACAGGGCTCCGCTTTGTGCCAGATGACTGATGATATAAACAGCCCACCACACCAGCAATCAAAAGATAATTTAGACTCTCTGTCAGCTTCTGTGTCATACTGATTTCCCTGAAAGTTTAATATCACCGGGAATGCAGGGCCCAGCCAAGAGCGGCCCCCAAACCCTCACTCTCTCTGGTTTTATCTCACCCCAGTAATCTCGGATCCATCAGTAGGGATGGAGAATGGCACCTTTGTGTTGTTCAATTGCTGCTACTGTGCTTGCAGGCACATTGTTGATTAAAAACTGGCTGAGAGATCAGCAGACCCTCCAGTGCCTTTGCAGACATGGAGGGGCGAATTCAACATACCTCTTGTGACACTTTTTGGGTACATCAGAGCAAAACTTGTACCCAAGCGCTCTGCATCGCAAGTGCAATGCTGTACCAGGTGCGCTCCCGAGCAAGTTTATGAAGTCAGAAAAGTCATACATATAGAGCTGGTTATGTGATGCAATCAAGATGTGTTAGTGTTTTCTGACTGTGTTTTACTGCCATTAGCAGTCATTTCAGTTGGAAATTGACAAAGAATTGTATGTACAGGTGTTTTCGGTGTTTTGCAAAAATTTTCCGATGACTCTTTGTTGCTGCTTGTTAAAAATTATGAACAACAACAACAACAAAAAGATGAACATGACAAAATACAGAGCCAAATGACAAAATACAGAATTGCTTAATAAAGATGGTCATTCTGTGAGATTCATCTATTCGTCTGACATGATTCTTGAAAAAACAACAGCCATACAGACAAAAACCGGACAGCATCAGGTTCTACAGCACTGGCAGCTTTTAATTAAATCATTTAAATATGTACACATACCACACACACATTGGGCCTCATTCATGAAACAAGAGCAGAACAAATTTTTGTGCAATTCATTCCATAAACCCATTCTTATGTAAATTGTTGCATTGAATTGAATGCGACAATTTATGTAAGAATGTTTTTACGGATGATTTGCACCGAAATTTGCTCTGCTCGTGTTTCATAAATGTGGTCTGATGAGTACATCTAAGACAGGGAATTACAGACAGGATGCTTTTGAGCTTTGGCAGCAGATTTTAGCTGAAGGAAAGCTCAAGAAACACTGAGATCAGACCTATCTTTTCCATCAAATGTTTTAACACAGCATGTTTGGATGGCCCTAAAAAAGGTCCTCATTTACCATCTGGCCAAACTAAAATGTCTTATAGGATCTTCAAAACAGGTTTATCTATTGCATAGAGCTAAGCATCTCTCAAATAAAGTATAGTCAGTGCTGGGGAGTAACAAAAAAAGAAAAAGAAAAAAGAAGCGCAACAATAACTTAACTAACTTCTGTAGCATGAACGTAGTGTACCTGATTTCACACTGTACACAATACTGTATCCCACAATGCAATCCAACCTTCTATTTAGTGTCACAAATGAACCAGAAGTCAATATTTTTATTCTTGTTCTAATTATGCTTGACAAGATTTTTATGTTCACTATATATTGACTATTGTTACACTGAATGACATTTTTTTCTTAATTAATAAATAGAAAACAGTGTACAGTGTGGCTGACATTTATTACTGAAAAAGTAAATAAATCGAAACTGCCACATAGAAAGCAGTTTTTCAGTGAACTTTTTTGAGTGATATGCAAACATTCAGTATCATTCACTCCTGAACTGATTCACTTAAATGGACAGTTTAAATTGATTCATGAAAAATAATTAAACTCACCAAATCTAAATTAGTAATGACACAATTTTAGGAAACTTAATGGGTAAATAAAAATGACATAAAACACTGTTGCTTAATTTGATATATTATTTATGAATATTTGATACATACACTTGAGAAGGCAAGACCTTGCACTCATTCCTGATGTAAACTACACCATAGAGACATGAACGTGTCTGCATTCCTGGACAAACGGGATGTGTGGTGAGACAGCTCTGCTTTGAGAGATGGGTGTTAATGGGAGCTCTGTTCCACAGGATACAGTGAGACCCTACGCAGTGGAAGAGCTCATGGCTTCTGACTTGAAAAATCATTTGAGGCAGACGCATCAGTCGACTCTCATCAGCAGCGCAGACTTAATCGTGAGCACAGGAGCTCATAATTTAAGAGCGCAGCATCTGTAAAGTCCATCACGCCGCTGCAGTCCCGCCGACCGCCTCGCAGAACAAACACGTCCACCGGGGAGATTTATGCCTCTATGGAAAAACAACAGAATCTGATCAATAAATCCATTTCCCTTGCGAATCATCGGCAGCGAGGCTTATCTGTCACTGTTTTGTGAGAGGAACCAACACAGGGGCCCCTGAAGGGTCAAGGTTGTTGGAAAGGTTACAAAGAGCGACAAGCCTCCGTGTTTTGAAAGCAGGGTCGCAAACTTTGACCTCTAGGCCCTGAGAGCCCTAGCCTGGGAGGGCCGCACAGGCAAGAGTAAAACGGGGACTACCGTCTCTCACTAATTGACATAATCTGTAAACTCCAGTATCTGCCCCCATTTCTCAGCTGAGCGGGTGGGTTAATCAATAGAGCTGAGACAGTGAAGGGTGTGAGTGGGCCAGTGGTCTGAAGCCATTAATCCTTTCCAAAAGCTCCTCTATATACGGCTTGAAGAAACCTTGACAAATAAAGCTATTCTCTGGCATTGTTCATTGGGAATGGCCGGCTGCCATGTCTGGCTCTTGCGACCCAATCCCATGAGGCAAGTGGAGGGAAAGCACAAAGCCCCTTTAGCAGGAGAAATACAGCTTTTTTATCAGGGTGGTAGAATTGGGGTCATTAGGGTTGTGCCACCCCCTCACTAACCTTT